AGTTGTTTGGGGCACCTGGGTGGATCAGTCAGTTAAGCATGTGGCTCTTGATTTTGGCTCAGGTCATGATCTCAGGGTTGTGAGATTGAGCCCCTTGTCTGGCTCTGCACTGGGCATGGAGCCTGCTTAAGATTCTCTCCCTCTCCCTCTACCCCCCTCCCCCTGTCCCCACTTCCCCTCCCTTAAAAAAAAAAAAAAAAAATTGTTTGTTGTCTAGGAATTTGCTAGGATCCTGGTAGTCTCTCCAGGATCGAGTCCCCAAATGCCGGAGCATAAGCTTACAGAAATAAGAAAATAGAGTCAATACAATCCTGATTTGGACAAATGAAAAAATTTTTTAGATCGTTGTGAAAACATAAACCTAGAATAGATACTACATTATATTAAGCAATTGTTCATTTTTAGGCATGATGATGGCATGGTTGTGGGGGTGTAGATGTGGGTGTAAGTCCTTATACATTAGAGATCCATACTGAAGTATTCAAGGGTGAAATTACATCATGTCTATGATTTGCTTTAAAATACTTCAGAAAAAAAAAGGTGGGATGGAGGAACAGATGAAACAAGATTGGCAAATGTTGCTGGATTAAGTGTTGAAGCTGGATAATGGGTACATAGAGTTCACTGTGCTATTCTTACTACCTTTGCATGAATTTGAAAATTTCCACAATAAAGCTTAAGTAGAAATCAAATCTGAAATTTTAGACCACTTAGTGATAAATGATAATGGGATGCCTACAAGTTAAAATTTGTGGGAAATCACCAAAGGTCTAACTGTTAGGAAATTAATAACCAGGGTGCCTGGGAGGCTCAGTCAGTTAAGCGTCTGCCTTGGGCTCAGGGTCCTGGGATAGAGCCTCAAATCAGGCTCCCTGCTCAGCAGGGTGTCTGCTTCCCCCTCTGCTCCCCCCACCCCCGCTCATGCTTGCATTTGCTTGTTCTCTCTGAAATAAATAAAATCTTAAAATTTGAGAAATGACCTTAATGCATTTAGAAAACTTGATTGAGGAATTACTGTTTGTCTTGTTTATCACTCTGTCCTCACATTTACAGTGCCTGTTGTGTAACAGGCAGTTGATTTTAAAAATTGGGGAAAAAAAACACATTAGCTTGAGCCAGAAAATAATTTTTTTTAGCAAATTTTTTAAAAAACTAAGCTAAATACCAGGAAGCAATTCATACAATAAAAGTAGAAATTAATGAAATAGTTAATAAAACAGAGTTTATCCAAGGATGTTCTCTTTGAAAAGGCCGTTAGTATAGAATTGGCAGTAATGGAGGAAAAAAAGACACAGAGCTTTTTATGTGAGAAAGGTGAAATGGCCACATATCAAAGAGAATTAAAAACTTTAAAGTTATATGTTTTACTATATACATATATTTCAATATGTATAAAAATATAGAGAATGAATTATCTAGAGAAACCTAAATCATCAAAGTTGACTCAAGATACTATACAAAACCTGAACAGATCTATAAGCAAAGGGAAATATTGTGGTTATGATTTTTTATAGTTTTGCAGGCACTAAAAAGTTTTAAAGAATAGATAGCCTCTAACAAAATTTTTTTAAAAGATTTTATTTATTTGAGAGAGAGAGCACAAATGTGGGTGAAGGGCAGAGGGAGAGGGAGAAGCAGACCCCCACTGAGCAGGGAACCCGATGGGGGGCTCCACCCAAGGACCCCAGGATCATAACCTGAACTGAAGGCAGATGCTTAACCGACTGAGCCACTCAGGCGTACCACCTCTAACAAACTTTTGCTAGGTCATTCTATAAGGTAAACATCCCAATAAAAGTAAATGAGAATAGCCCCTAGAAAGCAAAATCTGGACCAGTATCACTTAAGATACACACAAACATTCCAAATAAAGTTCAATAAATTGAACTCAACAGTCTACTAAAACAATTATAAAACATAAAACAATTTACCAGGAATACCCAGGGACCTGATTTGTTGTGATTTAATTAGGTATCAGATTTTAGCTTGAGCAATGTAACCATGTTGGAAAAAATTCACCTCAATAGTTATTGATTATTCACCTCAAAAGTTACCTCAATATGTTTTAGGTTTTTTTCTTATTCTCATTTATCTTAGCTTCATCAGCTTTAAAAAAGGAGTGAACAACAACAGATATGAGAAGTTGGCATTCAACAAAAAATTATTACCTTTGGGGCGCCTGGGTGGCTCAGTCGGTTAAGTCATTGCCTTCGGCTCTGGTCATGATCCCAGGGTCCTCGGATCGAGTCCCATATTGGGCTCTTTGTTCAGCAGGAGCCTGCTTCTCCCTCTCCCTCTGCCTGCTGCTCCCCTGCTTGTGCTCTCTCTGTCAAATAAATAAATAAATAAAATCTTTAAAAAAAATTATTACCTTCCACAAAATAAAAATGAATATTATTACAAACCTCTGTAATGTCACTTTACTCATACATTAAGACTTGTACTTCCAAATCCATTTTGCTCAGATTGGGCAGATGTCATTGAACAATCACTCGTCTAGAATAATAGACCCATTCATGATTTCAAATTTTAAATTTGTAAGCAGTACAATGTTTATATAAAAATGTAACACACAAAAAAGTAAGTAGTATAATAAAATTAGTTTTCACTAATCCGTATGTTTCTCCTGCCTGGTATCATTTTCATGTGAACAGTGGTCTTCTGGAGACAGTACATTAACTCAAAATTTCTGGAAGTATGTTCCACAAGACAGTACTTTAAGATTTTTTTTTCTTATGCCATCTCCACACCCACTGTAGGGCTCGAACTCACAACCCTGAGATCAAGAGTCACATGCTCTACCAACTGAACCAGGCAGGTGCCCCAAAACACTAATACTTTAATGAAAATGGAAGAAAATAATTTTGTGGTCAAACAAGCATGGGAGCTCTGTATGCTCTATTTCTGGCAGGGAAAATTCACATCAAGTGCCTAACAAGAGACTATCAAAAAATGTTTCATTTTATCTAACCCACTGTATCTCAGACTTTATAGAACTCCCTGTACTCTTTACCTACTGCAGATGTGATTCTACTTTGGAAGATACTGCCATAACCAGAAGGAATGGCTTTAAGGATGGAAATGTCAGCGTTATGACAGGTGTATGGTTATCTGTATGGCAAGAAAAGCAATTTAAATTATGTTATCCAGGGGCGCCTGAGTGGCTCAGTCTTTAAGTGTCTGCCTTCGGCTCAGGTCATGATCCCAGGGTCCTGGGATCCAGCCCTGCATCAGGCTCCCTGCTCGGCAGGAAGCCTGCTTCTCCCTCTCCCAGTGCCCCTGCTTGTGTCTTCCCTCTCTCGCTGTCTCTCTGTCAAAAAATAAATAAAATCTTAAAAGAATAAATAATGTTATCCAGTCAGCTGCCTGCTTTTTCTTTAATTTAAAATGGTGCTTTTCAGGGTGCCTGAGTGGCTCAGTTGGTTAAGCGGCTGCCTTTGGCTCAGGTCATGATCCCAGGACCCTGGAATTGAGCCCCATGTCGGGTTCTTTGCTCAGCGGGGAGCCTGCTTCTCCCTCTCCATCTGCCTGCCACTCCCCCTACTTGTGCTTGCTCTCTCCTCTCTGTCAAATAAGTAAAATCTTAATAAATAAATAATAAAATGGTGCTTTTCAGTAGAATAGAAACCCCCAGCCCTTAATTCTTTATTAGACTATATATAATTTCTTGCTGCAAAATATTGCATATCTGTGTTTCTTGCTATCCATAAACAAGAGTTTCTCTGAGGTATTTATCAAAAAGTGGGATTGCTTAGTCACAGATTATTCATTTTCAACCTCATTAGATAATTGTTGTAGAAGTGGAGAACATAATTGTGGCGCCAATTTCCAACCCCTTCAACCAATAAAGTATTATTTCCTTATATTCCCACTTCTGGTATGTGCTTTATAGTGAGTTGAGCATCTTTGCACACCTGTTTATTGCTAAACACTATAATTTACTAGTTCATGTCTTTGCCCATGTTCCTTTTTATTAACTTTCATATGAGAATTATGGGATTCTAGAGAATAATCCTTTACCGAGTATTATAAATGATGGACTTAGCTTCCCCAGATTGTGGCTTTTACAGCTGTATTTATGGTGATACTGTCATATTAAAATAAAAAAAAATTTTTAATGGAGGCAATCATACCTTTCATTATTATCTAATAATCTTTTTAGTTTTTTACTAGACCCTTGGTTTTCTAGGCACTCAGTTATGTCAGCTGTATATGGATATAATTCTTTTTTTCTGAATATTTATAGTGATTATTTTATTAATCATCTAATAGAAAGAATCTCCAGAATAAGATTTAGGATTAGTGGTGATAGCAGGCATCTAGTTGTTTTCACCTATTTAATGGAAACCACTTAGTGTAATGTTTGTTCTAGGTTTGAGGTAAAAAGACTTTGTTGTGGCTCAATTGTTTCCTTTAGTCCCTAACTAACTTTATTAGAAATGCCTGCTGAATATTATCAGATGCTACTTCACATCGATATAATGTTTTTCTCCTTCAGTTTGTTAGTGTGATAAATAGTACTTTGGTCATTAAGGCATTATGGTATTAGTACAAGAATGAACAAGTAGACCAATGGAACAAAATAAACAGCCCTGAAATAGACTTACATATATGTGGTCATTTGATTTATGACAAAGGTTCCTCTGCAATATGGTTCCAACATAGCAGTCTTTTCAATAAACAGCACTGGGTCAGTTGCATATCCATATTGATAAAAAATTAATCTTGGCTCTTACCTCACACTACACACATACAAATTCCAGATGCATTAGTGATCTACTTATAAAAGGTAAAGGAGGCCACCGCGCGCTTCGGAAGGCCGGAGGGAGGGGGAGGCCTGTCAGTCTCGCGCGTTGCCTGGGCGAAGGGGGCGGAGCTTTGGCGTGGGGCGGCCAATAGTGGGGGTGGCTGCGTGGGTCGCCATGGGGACGGGGCTGTTCCCGGGGCGGCTGTGATGGGTTGACAGGTGCGTGACAGTGGGAGCTGCTCTCGGCACAAGCATGTACGGCAAAGGCAAGAGTAACAGCAGCGCCCTCCCGTCCGACAGCCAGGCCCGGGAGAAGTTAGCACTTTACGTATATGAATATCTGCTCCATGTAGGAGCTCAGAAATCGGCCCAAACATTTTTATCAGAGATAAGATGGGAAAAAAACATCACATTGGGGGAACCACCAGCATTCTTACATTCTTGGTGGTGTGTATTTTGGGATCTCTACTGTGCAGCTCCAGAAAGACGGGAAACATGTGACATTCAAGTGAAGCAAAAGCCTTCCATGATTATAGCGCTGCAGCAGCTCCCAGCCCAGTGCTAGGAAACGTTCCTCCAGGAGATGGCATGCTAGTAGGTCCTGTACCACCAGGGTTCTTTCAGCCTTTTATGTCACCTCGGTACCCTGGAGGTCCAAGGCCCCCACTGAGGATACCTAACCAGGCACTTGGAGGTGTCCCAGGAAGTCAGCCATTACTTCCAAGTGGAATGGACCCAACTCGACAACAAGGACATACAAATATGGGTGGGCCAATGCAGAGAATGACTCCTCCAAGAGGAATGGTGCCCTTAGGACCACAGAACTATGGAGGTGCAATGAGACCCCCCCCGAATGCTTTAGGTGGCCCCGGAATGCCTGGAATGAACATGGGTCCAGGTGGTGGTAGACCTTGGCCAAACCCGACAAATGCCAATTCAATACCATACTCTTCAGCATCTCCTGGGAATTATGTAGGTCCTCCAGGAGGTGGAGGGCCACCAGGAACACCCATCATGCCTAGTCCAGCAGATTCAACCAACTCTGGAGACAACACGTATACTTTAATGAATGCAGTACCTCCTGGACCTAACAGGCCTAATTTTCCAGTGGGCCCCGGGTCAGATGGTCCCATGGGTGGATTAGGAGGAATGGAGTCACATCACATGAATGGCTCTTTAGGCTCAGGAGATATGGACAGTATTTCCAAGGATTCTCCCAATAATATGAGCCTGAGTAATCAACCGGGCACTCCAAGGGATGATGGCGAAATGGGGGGAAATTTCTTAAATCCTTTTCAGAGTGAGAGTTACTCCCCTAGCATGACAATGAGTGTGTGATCCATTACCAAGTCTCCTCATGAAAACCACAGTGAGTCAGCCTTTCACAGAACTACTACGGAAGAAAATTATTCATCACAGTGTACAGTTAAACAAAGGAATCTCAGTCACACCAAACCAACCTTTTTATTTCCTGCTCTCTCCCCTATTTTTTGAAGAAAGCGGGTCCAAACGTGATTCAAACAACTGTACAGAGTGGCATATTAGAATTGCCCTAAACTGAACTGCAAATAGTTATCTGTGTATGTATATGTGTGGGAAAGAGAATATATTGTATATGTGTATGTTATATGGACATATGCACATACATACATTGACCCACAGGACATTGTAAAATATTATTACATGACATCTTAAGTAGAAATAAGTAGGGACTTTTATTCCATCCTTTTTTTCACGTTTACATTTTAATTATTAAAAGTTGCTCCTGCCCCTCCCTGAACTATTTTGTGCTGTGTATATCACTGCTTTATATAAGTTATTTTTTTTTCTTTTAAAGATTTTATTTATTTATTCATGAGAGACAGAAGGAGAGAGAGAGAGAGAGAAGCAGAGGGAGAAGCAGGCTCCCAAGGAGCAGGGAGCCCGATGCGGGACTCGATCCCAGGACCCCGGGATCGTGACCTGAGCCAAAGGCAGACGCTTAACCATCTGAGCCACCCAGGCACCCCTATAAGTTATTTTTTAAGGTGAACTCAGATGTTATGGTTTTGTAAATGTCTGCAATCATGGATAGGAATAAAATTGCTTATTTGAGAGCTTTCATTAAAAAAAAAGGTAAAGCAAAGGCTTTAGAAGAAAACAGAATATCTTTCTAGGCTTGAGATAGCAAAGATTTCTTTTTTTTTTTTTTGAGAGCTATTTTTTATTTTTTAAGATTTTATTTATTTTGACGGAGAGAGAGACAGCGAGAGAGGGAACACAAGCAGGGGGAGTGGGAGAGGGAGAAGGAGGCTTCCCGCTGAGCAGGGAGCCCGACGTGGGGCTCATGACCTGAGCCGAAGGCAGACGCTTAATGACTGAGCCACCCAGGCGCCTAACGACTGAGCCACCCATGCGCCCCGAGAGGGCCCAAATTTCATGAGTTCTTGCAACCAGTGGGGCTTAATGCTTGGAGTTTTAAAGATCAGCATGCTTGGCTCTAGGAGAGCTTGGAGGGCATTGGGGCTGTTCTTGGGGAAAAGGTAAGGCATACAGCCCACAGACACAGTGCATGGAAACAGCAATCTAAAGAGCTCCTGGGGTACCCGGTAGGGAGGTTACTTGCTCATCTTGGAGCATCCCAGAGAGGCAGTGTTCATAGAGAGCTCTCTGGGAAGAAAGGAACTGTCAGGCATCATTTCCCTCAGCCATCACTCAGCATAAGCACAGGGCCACCTAAGGAAACCACCCAGGCACCCATACTTACTACCTAACTGCTTACACCAAACCCTGCCTCCCTGCACCCTTCCCAGTCACTGTCCTCAGTCCCAGCTTGGCATGCCCCCTTCCCCAGAAGACTGGCTCAATACCATGTCTCTTGACCTGGGAGTTTTGTGAGGCCTCATTTCCCATGACGGCAGTGACAGGTCTCATTTCACAAGCAGACCGGAGCACACCTAGTTAAAATGAACCACATTCAGGGCGCCTGGGTGGCTCAGTCAGTTAAGCGTCTGCCTTCGGCTCGGGTCATAATCCCAGGGTCCTGGGATCGAGCCCCTGCATCGGGCTCCCTGCTCCGCGGGGAGCCTGCTTCTCCCTCTCCCTCTGCCTGCCACTCTCCCTGCTTGTGCTCACTCTCTCTCTCTGTCAAATAAATAAATAAAATCTTTTAAAAAATAAAAATAAAAAAATAAAATGCACCACATTCAGGTCAGGGACCAAACACTGCCCACAACAGGCAAAGAGAATCTCTGCAGATGACTGAGCTGAAGGATAAAGTGGCCAGGACACAACAGCGGAGTGCATACAGCACACATTGGAGACACTCCCAGAAGTACCAGGTCCAGAGGGACAGGGGACACTACATGCAAAGGGAATATAGTACCTCCTCTTCATGAAGCCATTGCCCTCAAGAACAAGAGATGTAGTAGAACTTCCTAACACACAGAAACAGGTACAGAGACTTAGACAAAATGCGAAGACACAGGAATTTGTCCCAAATAAAAAATAGGACAACGCCATTTTTTATTGTGAAACACATATAAGTAATATGCCTGATGGAAAATTTAAAGCAATGATCATAAGGATACTTATAGGACTTGACAAGAGTGGAGGACACTCCCTCAAATAAATAAATAAAATCTTTTAAAAAAATAAATAAAAGTAGCAAGACAGAAGAAGACAGTTACATACAAAGGAAACCCCATAAGGCTATCAGCAGATTTTCCAAGCCAGATAGGAGTGGCATGATATATTCAAAGTGCTGAATGGGAAAAATCTGCAGCCAAGAATACTCTATCCACCAAGGCTATCATTCAGAAGAGAAGGAGAGATCAAGAGTTTCCCAGACAAGCAAAACTAAGAGAATTCATGACCACTAAACCAGCCCTGCAAGAAATATTAAAAGGGACTCTTTGAGTGGAAAGGAGAAACCAAAAATGACAGTATGAAGGTAGGAAACACAAAAGCGGTAAAAATGAGTATTTCTGTGAAAAATCAGGCAAGGAACTCACAAAACAAAAAGATGTAAAATATGACATCATATACCTAAAACATGCAGAGAAGAGGAGTAAAGAATGGCTTTAAACTTAAATGACCATCAACTTAATATAGACTGCTATATGTAGAAGATGTTATATACAAACCTAATGGTAACCACACATACACACAAAAAAACCCCAGCAAACCACAAAAGAAAGACAAGAAAGGATCAGAGAAAAATCTTCAGAAACAACCACAAAACAAGTAATAAAATGGCAATAAATACATTTCTATCAGTAATTACTAGGAATGTAAATGGACTAAATGTTCCAGTCAAAAGACATAGGGTGACAAAATGGATAAAAAAAAATAAAGACCCATCCATATGCTGCCTGCAAGAGACTCATTTTAGACCTAAAGACACCTGCAGATGGAAAGTGAGGGGATGGGAAAATATTTATTATGGAAATGGATGTCAAAAGGAATCTGGAGTGATAATACTTATAATGGGCAAAATACACTTTTTAAAAAGAGATTTTATTTCTTTATTTGAGAGAGAGATTGCAAATGAGAGAACATAAGAAGGGGGAACAGCAAAGGGAGAGGGAGCCCCCATGCAGGGCTTGATCCCAGGACTCTGGGATCATGACCTGAACTGAAGGCAGATGCTCACTTAACCAACTGAGCCACCCAGGCGGCCCAACAAAATACACTTTAAAACAAAGACTATAACAAGAGTAAGAACACTGTATAATAATAAAGAGGAAATCCAACAAGATATAACAATTGTAAATATTTATGAGACCCAACATGGGAGCACTCAAACATAAAACAGTTAATAACAAACATAAAGGAACTAATTGATAATAAATACAATAATAGTAGGGGACTTTAACACCCCATTTACATCAATGGACAGATCATCTATGCAGAAAGTCAACAAGTTAACAATGGCTTAGAGTGACACAGTGGACCAGATGGATTTAACAGATATATTCAGAACATTCTATCCTAAAACAACAGAATACACATTCTTTTCAAGTGCACATGGAACGTTCTCCAAAACAGATCACATATTAGGCCAAAAAACAAACCTCAAGAAATTCAAAAGGATCAGAGTCATACCATGCATCTTTTCTGACCACAATGTTATGAAACTAGAAGTCAACCAAAAGAAAAAACCTGGAAAGACCACAAATACATGAAGGTCAAATAAATGCTACTAAACAATTGATGGGTTAATCAGGAAATAAAAGAAGAAATAAAAAAAGTACATGGAAACAAATGAAAATAAAAACACAATGGTCCAAAACCTTTGGGATGCAGCAAAAGCAGTTTCTAAGAGGGAAGTTTATTGCAATTAAGGCCTACCTCAAAAAGCAAGAAAAATCTCAAATAACCAACCCTACACCTAAAGGAGCTAGAAAAAGAGTAATAAACAAAACCTAAAACCAGCAGAAGGAAGGAAATAATAAAGAGTAGAGCAGGAATAAATGATACAGAAACTAAAAACACAATAGAATAGATGAAGCCAAGAGCTGGTTCTTTGAAAATATCAATAAAATTGATAAACCTCTAGCCAGACTTAGCAAGGAAAAAAAAGAAAGGACCTCAATAAATAAAATTACAGAAGAGAGAGTAGAAATAACCAACACCACAGAAATACAAATAATTATAATAGGATATTATGAAAAAGTGGGGCGCCTGGGTGGCTCAGTCAGTTGAGTGTCTGCCTTCAGCTCAGGTCATGATCCCAGGGTCCTGGTATGGAGCCCCGCATCAGGCTCCTTGCTCAGCAGGGAGCCTGCTTCTCCCTCTGCCTGCCACTCCCCCTACTTGTGCTCTCTTTCTCTGTCAGATAAATAAAATCTTTTAAAAATTATAAAAACCTGAATATTATTAAAAACTATATGCCAACAAATTGGACAACCTAGAAGAAATGGATAAATTCCTAGAAACATATAACCTACCAAAACTGAAGCAGGAAGAAATAGAAAATTTGAACAGACTGATTACCAGCAATGAAACTGAATCAGTAATCAAAAAACTCCCAACAAACAAAAGTCCAGGACCACATGGCTTCACAGGCAAATTCTACCAAACATTTAGAGAAGATTTAATACCTATTTTTCTCAAAATATTCCAAAAACTAGAAAAGGAAGGAAAACTTCCAAATTCATTCTATGAGGCCAGCATTACCCTGATACCAAAACCAGATAAAGACACCATAAAAAAAGAGAACTATCGGCCAATATCTTTGATGAACATAGATGCAAAAACCATCAACAAAATACTAGCAAACCAAATACAACAATACGTTAAAAAAATCGTTCACCGGGGCGCCTGGGTGGCTCAGTCGTTAAGCGTCTGTCTTCGGCTCAGGTCATGGTCCCAGGGTCCTGGGATCGAGCCCCGCATCGGGCTCCCTGCTCAGCGGGGAGCCTGCTTCTCTCTCTCCCACTCTCCCTGCTTGTGTTCCCTCTCTCGCTGTGTCTCTCTGTCAAATCAATAAATTAAAAAATCTTTAAAAAAAAAAAAATCGTTCACCATGATCAAGTGGGATTTATTCCTGGGTTGCA